GCAGGATTCTACCTTCAAAGAATGAGATGCAGGCTGTAGGTGGGCAACTTCCATGTCCATAAAAATACCATCCATCAGAAGTTGAGACACAAGAACCTCCATGGATAGCTCAGAGAATGAAATGCACAGAATTGCAATAAGCAGCAAATACTCACAGCGAGATCGGGGAGATTCCCTCTGTGTGTACACACTGAAAAGATGACAATGACAAAATCTCAAGAGGCCCTAGCCTGCAGTTTGTTTGGTGATCTAACACATCAAAAGCACTTGGCTTTGGTTGGTTGGTTGGTTTCTTTTTGTAAACAGACTGTTGGGGCAAAAAAGTATTTATCATCACCTTTGGACATACTCAGAGAAGCAAAACTACAGACAAGCTATTTCCCTTCCTTCCACTAACTCACTCTCTTTCTCACTGGGAAGCTACATGACAGACAGCTATTCTCCACTGAAGACTGCTAATAGCTTTTTAGCTAGTTGAGAGATCAAAACTTTAAGCTGCTTCTGAAATTTGAATGCTACACAGCAACTCTACCAGAGGGTCATCAAAAGCATAGGAAACATTTACCTACCTCTTCTGGTTTAACCTCTCTGCTGGTGAAATCCTTTATGCAATCCAGGAAGCAGTTCTCTGTAAGTTTATTGTACGTTCCAAGAAACTCCTTGAACTAGAAATAAAAATTGGACAATGAGTATTAAAAAAAAAAATCTACATCAATTTCTTATACACAGCTGCATGGGCCATCTGGTGACATTAACATTTAAAGGAAAAGTCACTTCAAAAATTTACTGTCGGTCACAGGATTTCAGCACCAAATGCTGCTAGTACTCAAATCAGACACTATACTGTGTCTTAACGGTCAAATGTTTAAATTTTGGTTGCTACAGAACTAGTCTTAACTTAGATGATAACTTAAACTTTTTGTCCTTCTCCATGCCCTACACGTTTTACTTTACATTAAAAAGTAATACAAGGTCTTCAAAGCCACCACTCATGAATACGGCATCTTACCTGCTTGATCTGATCCGATTCCGATATTTGTCCAGCCATATTCTACCACCTGTGATTCACTCACCTATTCTGAAGATAAAAGTAGAGTTTCACACAAAAAGCATTCATAGGAACTGCAGCGTTTTACAACAGAATGGAATTTCATACATCCTCAAAGTGCGTTTAAATGCAACTTTGCTAGCAAACTTTTGAGTAATCCACTGTTGGGATCACCCTGCATGGCTCGACCTTAAGGAGAAGGAGCTGTAGTGTTGATCTGCATAGCTCGACCTTAAGGAGAAGGAGCTGTGGCACTGAGAAGCTGGTAAACAGCTGGATATCTGCACGGCTCGGCCTTGAGGAGAAGGAGCTGTGGTAAACAACTAAGAAGAAGCGAGGAAAACAGGAACACCTGCAAGCAGCAATCCTGACTGTGTGAGGGGCGCGTGGACAGCATGTGATATTTTGTATATAGCCAATTGCAATAGTGTGTGTAACAAGCTGTAACCAATCATGAGTGTGTGCGCAGTGACTAAGCGAAAATTATGATATATATTGGAGTCAGACAAGACAATAAACGGCTTCGGAATATAACTCTCATAGAGTTGTGAAGTCCATCCTTCTCCCGCAATCCACTTGAAGGAAAGTTACCTATTTGAAATGTATTCAGTTAAAAGAACATCCAAGATAATGCCAGGTATAAAACCTTCCCAGACCCACCTGTTAACTGCTGTCCTTTAAACACTTTTTAAGCATTTCAAATGGATAAACTGACTTTAAAAAAAAAAAAAAAAAAAGGTATTTTATGAACGCTTTCAAACTCACAAAGTAAAACTAGGGCAGGATTGGGGTGAGAAGCAAGCAATAATATTTTCTAGCCTTATAGTTTCAGTGACTTTAGATGACATCTGTAAAAAACAGTATGGAAAAGAGGCAAGCATGAAATGGTAGCCACTCTGAATAGATGGAGCATAAGCCAGCTTGCACCAGAGAAGCAGATGCCTGGTTTCTATGTAGCTGCATTCTCACCAAACACTTAAACTAGAGCAAATGTTCTGGTCACTGAATGTAGTGAATTAAATGCAGGAAAACATGGAAGAATGAGAATGGCCTTAAAGGAAGTGAAGCAGACAAAGCAAAAGGGAAGAATGAACAGCCATGGATCCAAGAATTTAAGCAAGCATCCTCAAAGACTCACATTCCTAATCCAACACAGGAAACAAGTTAAGACTTGAAAGCATCCCTGCGGGTTTCCTAGAAGAATACTGAAAGCTAGTCTTCCTTTTCCCTTAATTTACATATTATCTAAGACCTATCCCAGGTAATAATGCAAGCTAATATTACACATTGACAAGAACAAGATCCTTCATTTTAATTCACATCAACTTGTGGAAGAAAAATTAGCACTGAAGTGTAATCACTTTGTGAAAAAAGTTCATTTAGCCCTTTATGAAGGGCTACTTATAATTAACCTTGTATTATGCTCTGCCAAGTTTTGAGCAAGACATGTTTTAGAAAGCTTAAAGTATTCCAGTCTTTCGGCAGGGGGAAGGGCGACGGTAAGCAAGCCTTCTGAACAAGAACAAAAAGACAGAAATAATTATTTCTACAACAGAACGAAAACTAAGCAGCTAAAAATAGCACTATAGAGCTCTCGCAAGCATGGACTCTCCCTACACTCCCTCCCATGATGGTAATTGTACCATCTGCCTCTTAACATTACATTTTATCACTAAACAGGAAGTAAATTCAGGGATTGGAGGTAAAGAGGACATACGATACTTGGCTTTAAGACGCATAGTCCCACAACCAAGGAAATCCTTGTGGGTAGATAGGTCACACAGGTTATTCTTAAGGAGAACCTACAGGATATGGTTGCTCAGAAGAAACAAGGCATTACTCAGGTTAATGTAAAGCTCTAACTTGTTTTAGGAGAGGCAGACACGACTATCATCTGGGCCAACAACTAGTGAAAATGGATAGTAACGCCTCTCTCATTTCTCAGCCTTAGAAGAAAAATCAGTGACACTTCTATGAAGTCAGTTTAAGATTATTAAACAAGAGAGTTAAATGCCACAGAGATCAGAAAAGACTTTTGTCTTTTTCCCAAGCACAGAAAGCTAAAAGCTTCAACTGTCAGTGCTGTTTTCTCACACTCACTATTGCTTCATTGTGCTTGTTTATAACAAGCCTGATCTTTTGGTCTTCTCTGACTAGTTTGGCAAGCTTATTACAGCTTTACTGAACTGCAGTTCCACAATGCCTTTACACTTGCACTGAGCAAGTGTACACACACAATGGCACTATCTGATTTTAAGTGTCTGAAGCACTTGTCCCTCTGCAGGTATTTTACACTTTCAACACAGCAGGCAATGAAATTACATGGCTCTACTGCACCTCTTCAGTAGCTATAAATTACAGGCAGTCGCCTTAACATCTAAAAATGCGCTCCCTGAACATTCCCCAAAATATGCATATCTGCATATCGCTTTATTCTTAAAGAATCTTAAATGTATCATTTCAAGTTTTCTCGTTTGTCCCCTTTCCCTCCAGCCTGTGAAACAAGAGAAAAAAAAAAAAAACAAACACGTGATGAAAGAGCCCATAACAGGGCTTGGCACATCAACTAACACACCTTAGTGTTAGCCGAGTCGATAACAGCTTCTTATGTAGCTGCTCACACAACTCCAGCACGCTTCAGGTTTAAGCCTATGCGGCCTGGACTACTTTCCTCTGGGCTTAATGTGATTTGGAAATTCAGCATTGCATTTTTAAACATGTTGTCACACTGACGGAAGCAGGTATCTCTGAATAAACCTCTGCAACAGGGCTACATGGTCTGGATGTGCTGGTTCTCCATGAAACCAGCAACAGATGGGAAGTCTCCCTTCTTGAGTGGCCCTGGAGCTCTTCCAAATATGTTTTGATTTTCTAAAGAGACATTCTTTTAAGATAAGCCTCTATGAGCAAAATTAGCAGTTAAGGATAACTTGAGGTTTTGATTTTTCATAGTTAAGGCATAATGGGTTTTCCATTCTCCTTCCAGAGTTAATAAAGGCTTTAGCCTATTCAAACCTATTCTCTGTGCAAGATCCAACCCAGCTGCCAGCGCTGTTTTAGAATCTGGAAACTGCTTCTAATATTTCCTTCTGCTGCAGCTGCCACTCCCATTGCCATGGAAACACAGAATCACTACAGTATGACAGCTTTTTAAAAAAAGTTAAAGTTCATTTATTAAATAAAAACAGTGATTAGGTTAAGGACTCCTAGCTAACCTGGGTCAATCATCTATCTGTTTCCACAGCAGGAGGAACAAAAGCCAGAACTACGGAGGTTAGAACTCTTCTAAAATTCCTTATGTGTGGGAATACAGCTTCCCCAGCTGTATCTCCACACCTTCCAAAGCAGAGGGCTTCATGAATGTAACTTCTAAGCACTAATAACTGGACCAGGGGTTTTGATTATTATTACTGTACTGCTGTGTGGCTGGAAAGCCTGCCTCCATTTAACAGCCTGGAGTTCTTACAGGTGAAACATGCACTGTAAACTACAGCAGGGAAGTTATTGGGTTTTTTCAACATTGGTGTCTGTTACCTCATCTTGAGTCAACAGTATCCTTTCCCATGGAAACTAAACAAGCCCTGTGTTTTGGAGGTTTTTTCAACCTTTTTGCAAGGAGCTACATTTTATTGGGAGAAGGGTCTGTTGAGAGACACACACTTGTTATCCTGATAACAATCTGATTAGGTATAGGTATGACCTACTCTATACAGACAAGGCTGCAATTATTTTTTTTTTAAACCTTCGCTTCCAATTGTACACACAGAACACCAGGCAAAAGTGTTACTTAGGGACAAAGAAGAATAAAAATATGAAGTCAAAGAAACGTGTCATGATAAAGCACCCACAGCTTTATCAGGAGTAGAGGAAGTGTTTTTTTTATAGTTGGGAATTACTAGGCTAGAACTTGATTGACATCAGATTAAAAAAACCTCATAGATTTAAAGAGCTCTTTTACTGAATCTAATCAAACTAGAAATACCTATGAAACCAGAAGGCTGCTAAAATAATCACATAAAATTCAGGGCAAGAGGCAATTTAACACTGAACTCCCAGTGTGGTGTGCCTGAGCAACCCTCTGTCCTGCACCGGCCCAGCGAGGCAGCAGTGATGGCCTCCCTCCGGGAAGGCAGAGCCCAACTCTCCCCCATCCCAGAGCAAGTCCAGCTGCTCTCCTTCAGACAGGGTGCTTGCAATGTAGTTACATAAAGGTTTTCTTCTCGCTCTGCACACAATGGTCAGCCTTCAGAGGCTCATAATGAGATGAGAAAAGGACTGGTCAGAAGGTGGCTGGATAATAAAATGTACCTCGTGCACAGGTTGTTATAATTCATGATCTCGTGGCCACGGGTTAGACCCAGCTCTGAAGAAAAAAGGGTTAATGGTAGAAAAGGTCTCCTGACGCCAAAAGTGCGTTAACATAGCAAGTCTGAAATTGGGCACCCCAAAAGCCTCTTTGAACAGACTGAACACACATGAGGGCATCTGTCCTGGGAGAAAACACATCTTTTTCCATAAGCAGTCTCCTATTTGAATTAGATTAGGCCTGGCTGATAGTTTTGTCCCAATAAAATCAAAATCCGAGCTGGAGATAAAATAATTTCACCTTGATTTTGTATCTAGGGTCGGTTTGGTTTTGGGTTTTTTTTTTATTACTACATCCTTCAAGTTCTTGCTTTCAAGGGCACCTTGAGTTTCTCTGCCCATACAGCCACTCT